CAAAAGTATGTGTATACAAATGAGTTCAGCAAGTCTGTGGGAAACAAGATCACTATACAAAAATCAACTATTTTTATATAGTAGCAATCAATAATTTTAAAATGGAATTAAGAGCCCTGACTAGTGTGGCTCAGTGGGTTGGGTGTTGTTCTGCAAACAAAAAGGTTGCCAGTTCAATTCCCAGTTAGGGCCCGTGCCTGGGCTGCAGCCCAGGTCCCTGACTGGGGGCCAGCAGGAGGTGACTGATTGATGTTTCTCTCATGCATCGATGTGTCCCTCCCTTCCCTTTATTTATTTATTTAATCATAAATAAATCCTTAAATAAATAAAATCTTAAAATAAAATTAAGAAAACAGTTCCCTAAACGATAGGATAAAAAATGCCTCAGAATAAACTTAACAAAAGAAATAAAAGACTTGTACACTAAAAACTATAAAACATTGCTTTAAGAAAATTAAAGATAAATAAATGAAGAGACATTCTAGTTCACAGAATGAAAGACTCAATATTAAGATGATAACTCTCCTCCAGTTGGCCTACGGATTCAACATGATCCCTATCAAAATCCCATAGGCAGTTTTTTTTTTCTAGAAATTGATAGCCTCTTCCAAAACTTATGTCTACACAGGAGCCAGAGTAGTCAAGCAGTCTTTTAAAAGATCAAAGTTGGAGGACTTGCATGTATAAACAGAAAATTTTACTATAAAGCTATAGTAATTAGTACAATATGTTACCAACACATATAGAGCAAGGAAACACAACTGTCAGTCAAGAAATAAACTCTTAAAATTTATGATCAACTGATCCTCAACAAAAGTGCCAAGACAGTTCAATGAAGAAAGTTTTTTCAACAAAACAGTAGTGTAATATTTCAATATCCTCGTGCAAAAAGATGAATTTAGACCCTTGCTTCACACCATACACAAACATTAACTCAAAATGGAACATAAACCTAAGTTTAAGATTTAATTAAAAATTTTAAAAGAAAACAAAGTCTTTGTGATGTTGGGTTAGGCAATGAATTTTCAGCTATGACACCAAAATGATGATCTATAAAAAAGTTTTTGATAAATTGTAATTAATTGATTTTTAAACAATTTTTTAAACTTATGCAGTTCAAAAACAGTTTAAAAATACAAAACAGACTGGGAGAAAATATTTGCAAGTCATATCTGATAAAGTACTTGCATCTAAAGTATATAAAGAACTCTTACAACTGAAGTAGCTCATTTTTTAAATAGGCAAATTCTTTGAGTAAACATCTCAGCAAAGAAGATAAACAAATGGCTTAACAAGCATATGGAAAGATGCTAAATATTATTAGTCATTATGGAAATGAAAATTAAAACTACAACGGGATACTAATACCTCATAAGCACTGGAACCACACACAATAAATAGTAAGTGCGGTGAGGATGCAGAGAAATTGAAACCTTCATACACTGCTGATGGTATGTAAAATGATGTAGCCACATTGGAAAAGTTCGGTAGTTTCTTAAAAAGTTAAACAAATTTATCATATAATCTAGCAATTCCACTCCTATGTTTTTCACCCAAGAGAAATGAAAATATATGTCCACAAAAGATTTGTCACAAATGTTCACAGCAGCATTATTCATAATAATAAAAAAAAAAACAACAAAAAAACATTGAGCGCGGGCTGGGAACCAAAGTGTCCCAGGTTCGATTCCCAGCCAGGGTACATTCCTGGGTTGCAGGCCATAACCCCCAGCAACTGCACATTGATGTTTCTCCCCCCCCTTCCCCCCCTTCCCTCCCTAAAAATAAATAAATAAATATTTTTTAAAAAAGATTTAAAAAAAAATCAGAACCCAATATCCATCAACTGGTGAATGAATAAATAAAATATAGTATATTCATAATGGAATATTATCAAGAGTGAAAAGGAACCACTGATACAGGCTACAACATGAGTGAACTGAAATTAAGTGCAAAAAGCCATATACAAAGACCACATGTGTATGATTCCATTTATATGAAATATATAGAAAAATCAAGTCTATAGATACAAAAAGGAGATGAGTGGTTTGGGACTGAGGATAGGAATGGGAATTCGCTACAAACAGGATAAGGGATGTTATAAAATGATGGAAATGTTTTTAAAAAATTGATTCTGATGATGGCTGCATAACTCTAAATTTACCAAAAATCACTGAGTTGTTATACACTTAAAGTGGATGAATTTTATGGTATGTAAGTAATACCTCCATAAAGCTTTTTAAAAATATGTATGAAGATACCTTTAATTACAAAAGCAGACATATGAAAGGATGCTCAGCATTGCTAGCCATCAGAGATGCAAATTAAAACCACAATGAGATACCACTTCACACTGGTCTGAATGGCCATCATAAACAAATCAACAAACAAGTGCTTGCAAGGTTGTGGAGAAAAGGGAACCCTAGTGCACTGTTGGGAATACGGACTGGCACAGCCACTGTGGAAAACAGTTTGGAATTTCCTCAGAAAACTAAAACTGGAACCACCTTTTGACCCAGCAATTCCACTGCTGGGATGATATCCCAAGAATCCTGAAACACCAATTCAAAAGGCCCCTGCACCCCAATGTTCATAGCAGCACAATTTACAACAGCCAAGTGCTGGGAGCAACCTAAGTGCCCATCAGTAAATGAGTGGGTCAAAAAACTGGTACTTTCACACAATGGAATACTGTGCAGCATAAAGAAAGAAGGAACTCCTACCCTTTGCAACAGCATGGATGGATCTGGAAAGCATTATACTAAGTGAAGCAACCCAGGCAGTGAAACAAATACCATTAGGATCTCACCTATAAGTGGAACTTAATCAATAAAACAAGCAAGCAAGCAAAACATAACCATAGACGTTGAAATAAAGAACACACTGACAGTAAACAGGGGAGAGGGGTAATGGGGGAAAATAGGGGAAGGCTTATCAAGAAACATAAAGGACACATGGACAAAAGGACAAAGCCTAAAGAGGTAGGATCCAAGGTGGGGAGGGGGGAAGTGGTGGGGGAAAAATGGAGACAAGTGTACTTGAACAGTAAAAAATAAAAAGAGCCCTGGCCAGTGTGGTTCAGTGGATTGGGCTCAGGCTGCAAACCAAGGGGTCATTGGTTCGATTCCCCTTGTCAGGGTACATGCCTCGGTTGTGGGCCAGGTCCCCAGTAGGGACCGCATGGGAGAGAACCACACATTGTTGTTTCTCTCCCTCTTTCTCCTCTCCTTTCCCTCACTCTAAAAGTAAAAATCTTAAAAAAAAAAAAAAAGTAACTTCACAGTGGGGGAAATCTAACAGAGACCACCTTAACCAAGTGATCATGGTTAACATCACCAGAAATGGGACAAATTAACATCATGTGCCTCCTGACACGGTGTACTTAGAAGAACATACTATCACTTCCAGGGTGTTTCAGTGCATACTGAGTTGAATCGTTTAAAAAAAAAAAACCCAAATTGAGGGTTATTCCCCAAAATAACTGGCCTGTTTTCAAGAATGTCCTCGTCATGAGTCAAAGACTGAGAAACTTACAGGAAACTAAGGGGACATGATAACTGCATGCAATACATGGGCCAAGAAAAAAAAGGGGGGGGTTGCTATAAAGGACACAGATAATCAGTGAAATCTGGACAAGATCCATATTAAAACACATACTGTATCAATGTTAATTTCCTGATTTCAATTATTGTCTTGCAGTCATTTAGGAAAATGAACTCATTTTTTTCATTGTGCCCATGATTTACTCTCAAACAGTTCAGAAAAAACTGAACACACTCATACACAAACAGAAAATGCAAATGTGGTACAATGTTAACATTTGCTGGGGAAAAGGTATATGGGAATTCTTTGTTGTGTGCTTACAAATATTCTGTAAATTTACATGTTGAAGTAAGTTAAATGCAGTATATGTATGCTATAATTTCAGTGTTTATTAACATGTATCCATTTGAGTAAAAACTAGATAGTAAACAAGAAACAAATATGAGAACATAGGGGAAATAACTTCTTGAAAGTTATTTTTTTAATATTTTGTTACTTATTTTTAGAGAGAGGAGAAGGGAGGGAGAAAGGGAGAGAAACATCAATGTGTGGTGGCCTCTTATGCAGCTCCAACTGGGGAGTTGGCCCAGCAAGCCAGGCCTGTGCCCTGACTGGGAATTGAAGCAGTGACCCTTTGGTTCACAGGCTGGTGCCGAATCCACTGAGCTGTATCAGCCAGGGCAAAAATTAACATTTTTTAAAATGGAGATATGAATCAAACAGTTCCCATACTGGAAATAAAGAAGCACATGGGGAAATGCTAACAAAGAAATACAAATTAAAACAACTTTAAAACACCATTTCATGTTGAGTAGCAAAAATTAAAAATGTTAATACTCCAAGGGTCTGATGAAATTTGTATTACGAACTTATTGTTCTTGTCAATGAAAGCAGCACAAACCATTTAAAAATACAAGGAAAAACTTACATGTGTTCATACTCTTTGACAGTATTTCATTTCTAGACACTGAAAATAGTCTTTGATAATAGCAATGAAGATGCATTCATGAAGATATACTTGTAACATAATCTGTGATAGCAAAAAGGTCAACATGTCAAAATTTAGAGGAATGTGTATAAAGCATGGTTTATCAACACAATATAGAATATTGTCTTAAATATTATAATTATGAAAACATTAAAAATAATTCATTGATTATAATTATGTAAAAACTTTTAAAGGATTAGAAAGTAATATACAAAATATAGCCCTGGCTGGTATGGCTTAGTGGAATAAGTGGTGGTCTGCGAACCAAAGGGCCGCCAGTTCTATTCCCAGTCAGGGCACATGCCTGAGTTTCAGGCCCGGTCTCCAGTAGGGGGCACACAAGGGGCAACCACACATTGAAGTTTCTCTCTTCCTCTCTCTAAAAATAAAACTTTAAAAAAAAATTTTTTTAAATATACAAAATATAAAGCATGTGTTGGTACTAGAATAATTTTTAATAAAAGAAAAATCCTTTAATTTTATTTGAACAATGAAACCCAATTGTGTAATAAAGGTGGCAGGAGAAAATTTATGGAGGTGATGGGTATGCTTATGGCAAACACTGTGATAGTTTCTCCAACCTACCACGTTGTATACATTTAATACGTAGAGCCATTTATGTTAATTATATCTCAATAAAGTGGTTTAAAAAAACACACTTGGACTTGGCAGTAGAAGCGATTAAGTATATGTAACTATAGTGTCCTTCACTGCTCTGATTTCTCCCAAAATGTAAGCATGAATTATAGTAACCCCTACCTCTGACTCTAGCATTCTAGAATCTTCTTTAAGGCATCATGAAAGTTTCAGCAGTTGTCATCAAATACAATGATTGTAAATGTTTTAAATTTCTCACTAACAATTTTTTAAAAACAATTCATGGAAAAAAACTATTTCAGCAATAACTTTTTTAGGAAAAGGTGAAGACATTTAAGGAAATCAGGTGAACAATGGGATAGCAACAAATCGGTGCAAATGTTGGAAGCTTTGCTCCAAGTGAACCAAAAAGTACCTGGTGAAAATCCTAACCACCTTTGAAGTGTTCTGGATACCCAGTGTGTTCAGAGACTGCCCTGGCTACTGCCTCCAGCTGGCAGGGAGCAGAGCCAACTTTGGGGTGGAATCTCCTTGGCCTCTGGATCCAGACGATGCATCTGAAAAGTTTAGTTAGACTCCTGGGGGAGAATCTTAGCCCCAGGGGCTGGGGCAACTCCCTAAGCAGGCTGGTTTCCCAGGCTGAGCCAGATCACTCACCCGCTTCAGCAGACGGGCAAATTGTTTAACAATCAGAAGACTCAGTTGCCGAGAAACAGTCTCTGTCCCCAGCTCATTAAGCCAGGCAGCAATAAATCCACCGACACCCAGGCACCTGTCCCTGGGCCAAGGACCAAGCCTGAATGATACTGGGAATAATTTCCTAGATGGTTTACTCAAGCCCTCATTTTGTCAGCATTGTTCCCATGCTAAATTTAATTTTATTCCCCTTCCCCTATTTGCTTTGCAGACATTCCAGGGTCACAAGGAAAAAGGCTATGCACTGAATTTCACTCAGAGGATTGTGGAACTTTAAAGTTGTGAGGGAAGGACCCTGTGAAGGGCCATATTTTTCTTAAATATGTAAGCCACATCATTTCTTTCCCAATACTCAACTCTGCCAATGGCTCAGAAGCAGCTGTACATAAAACATAAACTAGTCTGTGTGTTCCCATAAAACTAAACAAATGGAGGCAGCAGGCTGGATTTGTCCCAAGGGCCCACAATTTGTTGACCCTTGTCCTAGCGAGTTAGGGCCTCGGGGTTCTAACCTAACCTTGCAGCATTCTAGACATGCCCTTAAACAAAACCCCAAAACTAATAATCTGAGGTGACTTTCTTGGTCAGACACCTAGAGTCCTGACCCTGACTGGCTTCCACGGGTCAGGTGGAGCAAAGCACACTTCCTGTACTCTCCCCGCTCCGTGAAGCCTACCCTAGGGTGTGGGGACTCCACGCAGAAAGCAGCCCGAGTCAGAAGCCTGGGTGTACTCCACCAAGCCAAGAAACTGCTGGGTTCAGCTGCAGAATACTCATCACATTTAACGTTTTCCCTTGGAGACACCAGCCTTTTCTCACTTGAAAGGCTTTGAGAGTTATAAAGCTTATAGGTTGAGATATTTAACAATAGCCAAAACTTTCAAGTTTCAAGTTTGATCATTACACCAAAAAATAAAAATAGAAACTTAAAGAGACACATACAGTCAGTGCAAGTGACTTAATACATTTTATAAATACATTTCTTGCCTAACAAAAATGGAAGTCTAGCCCCATCAAAAGACAATTCTGATGTCCCTGTGCTAATTTTGTTGCACATGATGTTATCCTTGTCACAGCTCACTTATTTGTTAGCACTCATAATCCACATCTTTGGTTTTACCAAAACTATAAATTAAAACTCACACACACACAGGTGTGTGCCTTTAAAGTCCTGTATTATGATGGCCTTAACATTCAAAACATTTTACGAAGGACAAAAAGGAAGTCTCAGATCAGTGCGTCCATAGTTCTTGGCCTCTCACTGGGACGCTGTAAGATATCCTTGAATAAGATCCTGAACACGGGACAGGATAATCTCATTAGAACTGCTGCAGTTTTCTGGACCATATGGTGGGTCTATAGTCAGGACCCCAGCCACACAGAGAGCTCTTGATGAATCTCCCTGTTCAGTGACAGGGATGTGGTTCTTCTCAAGCCATTTCTTTAGGTTGTTCTTTCTCTTTTCCAGATCCTCAGAACTGTATGCCGTGCAGTCTCCAGACAGGAACAAATGCATCAGCTTCTCTCTTACCCAATGGTCCCCTTCATTCACAGTTTCAACAGTCTGCACAGCATGTCCCATAATGCCGGTCACAGACATGCTGCCATCTTCAAGGAAGTTCACAAGGACGATACTTTGGAGGAAAAGTAAGTTCAGAGCAGATTTGCAAAAGAAAAGCCTAAAGGTCCATAAAACTATGGCAGAAGCATTGGAATGAGAGGCCTCATCAACCGGGCAGGTCATTAGAATAATAGGGAATGCTAGTACCTATTTAAAAGTAATCCTCTCACCACCAGATGTTTTCACTGGTTCAGCATTCATTGAGGGTCCTAAATCTGTAAACTTTGTGTCCAGCCTAAAGCTAATCATTGTGGGAAGCAGCGAAAGCATTACTTAAAGAGTTATGAATGCCTTTGTCCTGGCTCGTGTGGCTCAGTGGATTGAGCACCAGACTGCAAAGGACCACTGGTTCGATTCCCAGTCAGGTTACAAGCCTGGGTTGTGGCCCAGGTCCCCAGTAGGGGGTGCTCGAGAGAACCACACATTGATGTTTCCCTCTCTCCTTCCCTTCCCCTCTCTCTAAAAAATATTTTTTTAAATGAATCTGCCTTTTTTTAAATAAAGACTTTATTTATTTTTTATTTTTAGAGAGGGAAGGGAGGGAGAAAGAGAGAGAGAGAAACATCAATGTGCAGTTTCTGGGGGTCATGGCCTGCAACCCAAGCATGTACCGTGACTGGGAATCGAACCTGCGACACTTTGGTTCGCAGCCCGTGCTCAATCCACTGAGCTACGCCAGCCAGGGCAAAAATAAATATTTTTTTAAAAAACTAATTAATTTAAAAAATAAAACCACAGGCTAATCTCACAAATACAAATGCAAAAATTCTAAATAAAATACAATATGTGATATGATGTGAAAGGATTATCACTTCTGCGGTACTCTTCCCCAAACCAGAGTCTACTAATGAGAAAACATCATACAAACCCAAATTGAGAGACATTCTACAAAGTACCTCACTGGTACTCTTCAAATGAATCAAAGTTGTAAAAAACAAGGAAAGACTGAAAAACCATCATAGATGGGAAGAGACTAAGGAGACATGGTTAAATGTAATATGGGTTCCTAATTGGATCCTGGAACAGAAAAAGGTCATCAGTGGAAAAACCAGTAAAAGATCCAAATGATTACCACTGAGTTAACGTAAATGTTTAGTACTGACAAGATGCTAACATTAGGGAAGCTGGGTACATGGGTATTCTCTGTGCTTGCTTTGCTCTGGAAATCTTAAAACTACTCCAAAATAAAAAGTGTGTGTGTGCATACACATATCATCACCTTTAAAGTAGTCTTGCAAAAATAAATCTGATTCTAATCAAACCTCTAGATATGAATATCAGTTTGTAGGAAATACAGAGGATAAAAACATGTTAAACTACATCATGATGATGCGATAAACTCAATCCAGAATGTGTTCAATTCTAATCACCAGAGTAGCTTTGTTAAAGGGATTTCCAGGTCCCTGCCTTGGAAACTCTAATCAGAGTGTGTTCAGTTCTATCAGACAAACGACTCCATTTCTTCAACAAATAAGGGAGTTGGAAAACTAAAAAAAAAGAAAGTGCAGAGTTATAGAGTAAGATACTTAAGAGACATACCAACTAAATTAATAAACCAATATAAAAAGATACTTTTGAGACCACCAGGCAAATCTGAACTCACACTAGGATTTAACTAATATTAAAATTCTTATTTCTTTTGTTAGGTGTTATAATATTGTGCCTATATGTATTAGAGATTCTGTCTACCAAGAGATATACTGAAGCATTTATGAATAAAATAATATGCCTGCAATTGGCTTTAAAATATATGGAAGGAGGGGTAAGATACTGTCTGCTATACCATTATTCTCTTTACATTGGTGTATGTTTGAAATTTCCCCATAAAATATATTCAAGAAATGTCTCATTTCTACAAACTTCTTTGGTCTGATAACATACTCCATGGTTAGAGCAGTTAGATTCCAAGGCAATAAAATTCTTGTACAGGAATAATTACGGTAGCTTTTCATTATCTGCCTTTGGAGTTTGGATATAGCATAGAGGCAGCACAAAAGGGTGTCGTGATTTCAGGGAAGCAGGACCCATACTCACTTGGCAGAGACTGGGTCCGTGGTTAAAACCCATCCTTTATACTCCTTCTCACTTGCTGTCACTCTGACTTCCTTGTAAATGTAATCTTGCCATTCTAAGGGACCTTTCTTCATCCATTCATTCATGGCTGCCATCTGACGAGATTTAAAACCACCACCACTTTGGGTTAATATATATGTTCCACCCAAGCAAGTGTCTTACCCCTAATCTCCATCCTAGAAAATCATCTGTGATTTGCCTCAAGTTCCATATCAGAAAATTAGTTAACACAGTATTTATTATTCAGTCTGAAAGCGAAGGGGCCCGACACCGCGTCGCCCTGGGGCGCTGTCTGCGGTAACTCATCTGGCATGCCTCAATTCCACCCTAAGCCCATTCCAGATCGCCTTCCTGCTGGCTTTGAACTCGGGTCTGCTCAAACCCGTAAACTGTGCTCTCCTGCGACCCAAGCAGCTCACTTCACACCAAAAACTTTAAAGGAAAACTCAGATACCACCCACTCGCTCTTTGGCTCTACCTCCAGGTAGAGGTCCGCCCCCCCGGATTTGTCGCTGTGTCCTCTTACAGTTTGGAGGATGTAAAAACGAAGAAGCAGCAGCTACGGCCCTAGATCTGACTTCTTGGCTTAGCCTGCAGCCGCATGGTACTCTGAGCCGCGCTCAAACCGAGTGGTACTTAGCGTTTCATCCTCACAAACGGGAAAAGTACCAGTTATAACTGCTAGCAGCACCTCGGACTCAGCAACCACGTTGTGAGGAAGGAATCGGTTCTCAAGTAGAGCCCGCCTGCGTCCAGCATGCTTTGCGCCATGGCGTCACTTCCTTCCCCCAGAATTCCGTTTTTGTAGTCTTTGGCCTTAGTCAAAAACCTAGGGGTCTGGGAGTCGCGAGCCCTGGCGTCTTACAGGCGGGACTGGGCTGGGGCTGACGTTTTTCTGTGATAACGATAAGCTTTTTTCTTCGCTGGGACCAACCCTCTCCGCTGCCACGGTGGGCATTTCAAAAAAATATTTTTTTAAAGAGGGAAATGCTTGTGCCAGGTCCTCGTTGGCAGTAGAAATGGAATTCCACTTTTGCCATGGATTCAAAGCACACGAAACCTCTAGGTAAAGCCTAAAGCTCTGGAAGTGTGTGGTGACAGTGCCTTGGAGGAGAGCGACAGAGCCAAGGTACTTCTTGTTTGTTTGGCCTGTTAAAGCAATTACAGTGCCTGGTCCTGTAGGATGCGCCCTGGATCCACTCCTGCAGGAGGTGTGGAAACTGGGGAGAGAAGCTCGGGGTTGGGTTGAATTCCACCTAGTCGAAGACTCGTTATGAACATCCCCCTCGCAAGTGGAAAAGTGCAAAAGATTCCTTCCCACCACAGGTTTCTGGTCATGTGCTTGGTCTGGCCTGCTCCTGGCATGGTCCAGAATTTTTTCTACATTGTGATCTTGAAAAATGATACAAGGTGGTAAATGTTGAGTCCCTGTAAATGTGAATACCAAGGGAGATTTACAAAACACATAATGTAGAAAACACTGAAAATGAAACAGCTTTTCCCTTACGATTTGGGATTTGAGTTCCATATAATCCTGTTTCTTATTGTTATCATTTAAAAAAAAAAAATCCTTCCCACAACCTCCACTCGTTGAATGATGGATTGATTATATTAATGTGGCCTTAGTGGATTAAATCAGATTTTGTCAGTTAAACCTACAAAGAGCTAACTTAAATACCAATTAGTATTACAGAGTAAAGGAAAACTGACCTCACAAAAATCCAGTCATTTTGTAACAACTGGTCATTTACATTTTAAACCTATCTATACTGCACAATGAAAGACTTCTGCCTTTGATTATATATAACAAGTATATATAATATATTATAATGTAATAATATATTATATTATTATATATACTTTACAAGCATATGTATATACTTGTAAAATTTTACAAGTATAAACTAGCCTCAAGCTTAGCTTGTTACCCTTCTAAAGTGATGAGGATGAGCCCTGGCTGGTTATGTAGCTCAGTGGATTGAGTGTGGGCTGTGAACCAAAGGGTCACCGTTCAATTCCCAGTCAGGGCACATGCCTGGGTTGCAGGCCAGGTCTCTGGTCAGGGCCATGTGAGAGGCAACCACACAATGATGTTTCTCTCCTCTTTCTCACTCCCTTCCCCTCTCTTTAAAAATAAATAAATAAAACCTTTAAAAGAAAAAAATAAAGTGATGAGGATGAGCCTGAACAATTTCCCTCCCTTCTCTCTCTCCCCTCTCCCTTTAGTCTCCTGACTAAACTAAAGGCTCATTCTCAGCAGATTGCAAATTCCCTAACACAAGTTCTCAGAAAGACTCCTGAAACCCCTCATCACTGAGATGAGATGGTGCCACTTCCTTTCCTCAGACAATCCCTACCCTTGGCCCCCCAGTGTGTCCTTCATACCAGTTGGTGTCTCTTCTCTCACATTCTCAATTCTCCCTCTCTCCCCAGTCCCTCTTCCTCCAACTCCTTCCTAAGGTCTGCCTTCCCCTCAAACCTTCACTCACACACACACACACACACACTTACCCTTTCCTCTGCCAATACCAAAATTGCTTATTTTAGATTTTGGAGTACATTTAGTTTAACTTTAGTAAGAAACATTTTTAAAAGAAAAATTTCTTAAGTGCCCTGAAAACAATACAAAGTTTCAAAACTGTCAACAGTCTTATATTGTTCACTGTTCTTTATCAGGTGCAAATATAAACCTGGCCTGCCCGGACTGAACTATGACAAATTTCAATTCATACTGTTGGGTAGTCTTAAAAGTAGGTAAAAAAATGAAGTGGGGATGGGGTGGTAATTTACTGTATTTTTATGCAAGGTGAGATCAGAAAAAAAGTAGCCCCTGTCATTTTGGCCAGAGACTTTTAATATTCTGGCTTTTTCACTTATTCAACAAATAGAACCCACTAGAAGCATCTATTTTTTTATGTCCATTTTATTCATCAAACATATATTGGGTATCTGTACATTCTATACTTTCTATTAAGAACTAGGAGTTCAAAACCTAATTTAAAAAGCATCTTGTCTCTGGGGAGTTGATGTCTCCTTGCACTTGTAAGCAAGTAAGCCATCATTCTACCTAGAGGAGACAGTAAATGGGAAGGGTTGGGGAAAGAGTTCATTGGTCAATTCTTCCTTGCCCTCTGACTGGGGATCAAACCAGTTGGTTGGATGCTGCAACTGAGCCACTGACCAGAGCTTGAATTTGATTTATAGGCAATAATTTACTGATTTCTATGGTGTAAGATTCCCACCGTGACTGATTTGAAGGTACCGATGATTTAACAGCAGGCTCCAAAAATTTATGAAATTTAACAGTACGTTCTTTTGACCCAGTTTGAACTGGTTCCTACACACCACTGACTGTGCTCATATGAGCTTTAGGACTTTGGAATTCATTTATTTGCCATCTTAGATTTCAGTTTTCTTATCTGTAAGTAAAAATGTGGGACTAGATGACCCAAGATTCTCCCAGCTCTAAATTCTCAGGACTAAGACACACACGGTCACTTAGTAAGCCCTGTATACCCTCTAACGGCAGGAGCCATGTCTGTTTTACTTACTACCATGTACCCCACCTCTAGAGCATTGCCTGGTATTTGTAAGTGGTACTCAATTTGAATTGAATTTTTATATCATTTTTTTCTTTCAAAGATTTTATTTGCTTTTAGAGAGAGAGAAAGGGAGGGAGAAAGGCAGGGAGAGAAACATTGATGAGAGAGAGAAATATCAATTGGTTGCCTCTCACATGCCCCCAGCTGGGGACCTGGCTCACAACCAAAGCATGTGCTCTGACTGGGGATCAAACCTGAGACCTTTCAGTTTGCAAGCCAATGCCCAACCCACTGAGTCACACAAACTAGGGCTGAATTTTTATACCTTTTTCTTTAAAGATTTTTTTAAAGACTTTATTTATTTACTTTCAGAGAGGGAAGGGAGGGAGAAAGAGACAGAGAGAGAAACATCAATGTGCAGTTACTGGAGGCCGTGGCCTGCAACCCAGGCATGTGCCCTGACTGGGAATTGAATCTGTGATGCTTTGGTTCGCAGCCCGTGCTCAATCCACTGAGCTACGCCAGCCAGGGCTGAATTTTTATATCTTAATCAGTAATATAGCACCCAATATGTGCCAGGCATTACTTTAAGAACTTCCAAACATTAACTCATTTTATGAATGAATAAATAAACCAAAAGAGAATGTGAAAAATTTGAGTGATGGAATGACATGATGAAATTGGCATATTAGAAAGGATACAGAGAAACTGGATATGGGGAAAATAGGGAAGTGTGGAGCCTACACAGCTTGAAACTTTACATAAAGTGTAGCCTCTCTACACAACAAAGCAGTGGGATTAGAGGGGGAAAAATCCAGAACCACTTTCCAAATGGAAATCCAGTTTATGGGAGGCAGTATCTCCAAATGAATGAGTTATCTGCCCTCCTCAGACCTGCCCAGAGGGGAGATTTTACCACCTCAGAGAGGGAAGATTAATTTCCCTAGCAGCAGAATGAAGATAGGATTGTTTTCCTAGGATGAAAATGCTTTGAACAGACTTTGTGAACTCCAACATACTAAACTAATGTGTGAAAATTTACAAAACTGCTACTGTGTACATTGCCTGTTAAATATGCTCAGGTAACATCTTTATGGCTACAAATCAGTGCCTTTTTTTCTTCTAAGATTGAATTTTTTTTTATGAGAGAGGGGAAAGGTGGGAGAAAGGGAAGGAGAGAAACATCAATGTATGGCCTCTTGTAAGCCCTACTGTGGACCTGGCCTGCAACCCAGGCATGTGCCCTGACTGGGAATTGAACCGGTGGCCCTTTGCTTCATAGTCTGGCACTCAATCCATTGAGCCGCATCACCAGGGCCTTCTTCATTGCATTCCTATTATTCAATGAGGTAATCAAGCTCAGTGGTAAGAATACAGATGTTACATAATTTTATGTTGATTTGAAAAAAAAATAAAGTTAACCATTTTTATTTTTCCCTGGAATTGTCTTGGAACAAAAAAGGAAGTCTACTACTGAGTTCCCAAAAATTAGTGCAGTGGTTCAGACAGGAAATAATCAAGTCCCCACCTAAGCTGATAGCAGTGGAAATGAAAAAGAAAAAAAATGAAGTAGATTCAACAAAAATTTCAAAGCAGAAATCAACAGGATTTAGTGATTGATTGGGGCAAGGGCATGTTGAGAAGGCCTTTGATACTAGGTCTTTCACAGAAATTTTCTTTGTTCATTTCTTCCTGCCTAACCCCTTGTCTTCCTCTTCATTTTTCAGGCTATCAGGCCTCCAAATAGTTATTATATTTACTACATTAAATAAGAAAATTTCTCCACGGAGTAAAAAATGTTTCAATAGCGCTCTGTGTTTATGGCACAGGAGGCAACACTGAGGTACCCTCTCCAAGCTCTGATAAACTAACCCTAAACGTTAAATAAAATGGATGTGATTAGATCTGTGATTCATCTGCACAGAGAGATCATCTGTAATGTGGGTAACCAAAGAAGGTGGGTGTTAGGGTGCTCAGTAACGTGGGCTGTGAAAGAATTCACAAAGAGAAGGAAGTGGAGAGTACTCTTTATTCACTTTCCAAGAAAAGAGACGGGCATGCAGTGGGGAGATCCACCAGCATTGAGGGGTGGGGGCTTTGAGCTTTTATTGGATTACAACTGGATTAATAAAAAGGGTGGGGGGTTGCTGTTGTGTGGCCCCTGGGCTGTTGGGGCCTTGTAACAGGAA